TGCAGCTTACGGAGGGGTAGAGGAATCTGGGAGGGCTTTTCAGGTGAGGTACCTTTTCATCTGGGCCTGTATAAATGGGTTTCATTAGATTGGGGTGGGGGGGAGCTAAACATGAGGAAATCCACAAAACAGCCTGGTGGAATATTATTCGACCTTCAAAAAGGAAGGAATACCTGCCATAGGTGACAGTGTGGATGAACCTGGAGGACATCACATTAAGTAAAATAAGCTGGACCCAGAAGGACAAATACTGTGCGATTCCACTCATACGAGGAATCTAAAATAGTCAAACTGAGATGCAGAGAGTGGAATGGTGATTGCCAGGGGCTGGGGGAGGGGGAGATGGGGAGTTGCTGTTGAAGGGGTGTGAAGTTGCAGGCAGGCAGGATGAATACGCTCTAGAGATCTGATGGACAACATGGTGCCTGTGCATAGCTGTCGAAGTCTGCAAAGCGGGAAGGTCTTATACGAAGTGTTCTCACCACAATGAAAACCTGTTGGGCTTGCATCTTACTCAGGGAGAGGCGCTCACGTTTGTGGGGAGAGACAAGATAGTGCAGTCACATGACTGGGGAGAGTCCCTCGGGAAGGCTCGATCAGAGGGTGCTGACCCAGGCAGGTTGCTGTCTCTGCAGTTGAGGCCAGGTAAGGGGCTTGGTGATGCCTGGTGACGCCAGGGGAGGGCACGACACCAACATCTCAGCATAAGGGTTGTGCTCTTGGGTAGTGAGCTCCTCCAGGACAGGCTCGGCACAGCTGAGGGACTGAGGGCCCGGGAGCTCGAAGCTCTTGCCTGCATGGTCCGGGGGACCCCGTGCTGAGTGCTCCGGCGGGGGGCGCGCCAGCGCTGGGCACGTGTGCTCTGCTGAGCTCTCATCCTGCTTACATACAGCGCACGCGGCTCATTAGTATAAATCAGGCACACACGTGACATGCCACTGCTGCACAGAAGGCTGGCGAGGAGAGTGGGATTCCTTTGATTAAGAGGTGATTTCACCAGAGGTTAGTGGGGAGGGAGGATGAATAGGCCGAGCACAGAGGATTTTTCAGGCAGTGAAACTATTCTGTGATACCATAATGGTGGATATATGTCATTACACAGTTTTCCAAACTCATAGACTATGCACACCAGGAGTGAACCCTGATGTGAGCTGTGGGTGAAGATGATGCATCAGTGTGAGTGTGTCAGTTGTAACCAGCGCACCACTCTGGTGGGGGATGCTGACAATGAGGGAGGCTGTGTGCATGCGGGGGCTGCTGGTGGATAAATCTCTGTACATTCCTCCTGATTTTGCTGTGAACCTAAAACTTCATTTAAAAAAAGTCTATTTAAAAAGAAAAGATACATCAATTCTTCTAGCCTCACACTGCGATTATGATTATCCAGTCCTTTGCTCCCATAAGAAGTTTGGACCTATTGAGAACTCCAGTGGGGAAGAAGTCCTCTGAAGAAAATTCAGATTTCACATAGGCCTTCGAGGAAAGGAACAGTTTTCTGTGTCCGTGTCTGCAGTACACAGCTGTGGTCCCACCACCTGCTCGGGGGTCCTTGAAGATAAGAGCCAAAGAGACATTACCCTGCCTGTCTTCAATAATAAGTCTTGATTGTTTTCCCCATGGCTATGGTGTCATGGGAATAAATTACTGGCTTGTTTTTGTTTTTACAGATTTGTCAGTTTTTAGTTAAAAAAAAATTTAGCAGGATGATGAGTCTAAAGTGTTACTGCTCCCTGATGCTGTTCCTAAGAGGCAGTGCCTTGACATAGCACCATCACATGTAACCCTGCAACATCCCAGGGAGGTGGGAGAGTGGGTGCTGTTCACACCTTATGTCTGAGAGAAAGGCTCAGAGAGGCTGAGACATTGGTTCAAGGGCAAGAGCCAGGACTCTAGTGACCTGATCAGGTTCGGACTGCGATCTAACGTCATAGGCAAAAGTGAATGTGTATTGTCCTGCATTAAGAAATTCTCTGTTAAGGACACTCCTTCCTTGGGTAAGTTGGGAGCCTGGCTCTCGCCTTGGGAAGGTGCCTTGTAGCTGGTAGGTAGGTGCTCAGCAGATGTTTACTGATGGATGAGTGTGTGAGCTCTGGGCCATTGTCACTCCAGGCAGCGCAGGGCCCGAGTAGGCAGCACCCCCTGTGGCTTTGTCTCTTTGTCTGTGTCGCCTGCCAGCTCCCTTCTCCCGGGCTGCAGGGCAGCATCTCGGCCTCTTTTCTGCCTGTTTAGACTGATTAACTGCCATTGGTCTGACCTTCCTTCCCTCGTCTCTTCTCAGTCCTGCCGTCTCCTTGCTCTTCCTAACCATATTTAGTATCTTTTCTGGAAATGTTTTTTCTACCTGTTGTTTCCATTATGAAAATTTTTAAACCCTGAGCAAAGTTGAAAGGATTCTGTGTGACTCTGGTCTGACAACGTGTGCCAGGAACTGAATCCCTTGGGTCCCGGTTGTGGCCTTGTTGCCTGGACCCGTGCTGCTCAGCGGCCTCGGTTCTGCACACAGCGTGCACATCCAACATGCCCGGGGGTCTTCTCCCCAGCCCGTCGGGGGCCTCGGCTTCCATCCTGGCTCTGACACGTAAAGGGGTGTGTTGTGCAGTTTATTTAATAACCTCTCAGGTTGGTTCTTCGTCTGTGAAAGGGCTTAATGTCACTGTGAGATGTCGATAAAATAGCAGTTCTTACATCCCCGCATGTAAGTGGTGGTAATGATCGTTGTTTCCTGGGGTCAAATGCAGAGTTAGGAGTTGGACAGATTTGGACTCAAATTCCAGCTGTGTGTCTGCATTTACTCTCTTTGAGCCTGTTTGCAGGCCTGTAAGAGGGACCTGAAGATGACTTCCCATAGAGTTGTTCCACGGCACCAGTGAGATGGTGCACACGGAGTTTTAGCTGGTGGGTGCTGGATTATCATCGAGACCTCAAGCTGCAAAGCTCCCTTGCTGTGTGCTTCCTGCTGTGCCCTGAGTTGGGCAGAGTCTGTGTCTGCAGGGCTTTGCCCTCACGGCATGCCCCTCCTGCCTTCCTCATGTTACTCTGTCTCCCTCATGTGACCAAGCTCACACCTGTCCCAGGGCCTTTGCATGTGCCTTTTGGCACAGGGAGTGTTCTTCCTCCATCTGGCAGCATGGTGGCTTCCTCTCTTCCTCAGGCCTTTGCTCACGTGTAATCTCCTAAGAGAGGCCTTCCCCGTGGAACGGCACCCTCCCCACCCGCGGTCTCTGCACCGTACCTGGCTTCACTTTCCCTGTGGCACTGCTCATCACCCCACCTGTTCTGTGCTGGCCTGTTTGATAGTCTCCCTGCTGGGGAGGAGGCCTGCCTTCTGCAGGCAGAGGCTTTGGTCTCTTTTATTCACTTGTTACCCACAGCGCCAAGAGCAGTGTGCCGACCTTGTAGGTGCTCAGTGAATTTGTGCTGACCCGGTGAATTTTGAATCTTGCTTGGTGACTCCAGGGGAGGGACACCTCAGACACTCCTTCTCACTGACACCTTGGGAGGCCCAGTTTCTCACTGTGCAGCCCTCAGGCTTCACCCTGTCCCAAGTGCCATGGGGAAGACGGGGCCTGGCCCTCCGAGTCGTGACCTTGGGATGCTGATGTGACTCTGGGTGAGGAGAGATGGGAGTGTCTGTTTTATGTCCCACCTCATCTGAACACAGTGGCTTCCAGTCTGACCCTGAGGTTGGGATGGAGCCCCCATAATTCCCTTCCTTCCGCTGAGGCCTGGGCTGCGGGCTTTCGTCTCCTCTGTAGCAAGCAGTCTGAGGACGGCACTGGTCCCGGGACCCATTTCTTGCTGCAGGGTCTTCCTCTTTCTGCCCGGCATCCTGAGTATAAGGGGACAGAGGGACCCGCCTGTTTATCTGCGTTGTCTTCCTCCCCCACTTCCTCCTCGATTCAAGTGTACTTACGCCTCGAGGGTGTGGGGTAGAGACATGGCAGTCCCTAGGAGTGTGTAAAGGCTTGAACGAGGTTGTGACAGGATGGGCTTTGAACAGAGCTTGACAAGTAGAAGGGTTCGAATTTTAACTGAAAAGAGGAAGCCAGCAAACCGTTCTCCTATCCAGAAGAGGCCTCAAAGCAGCATGTTGAAACATAAGAATGAAAGAGTGAGACGGGATAGGTAAATGGGCACAGGTGGAACTACAGGCCAGAGGGAGGGGGGCACGGCGTGGTGGCCGCGTGCACTCGGTGTGCGAGTTTGCCTGTGAGCTTCCTGGCAAACCAGCCCCGGGGGGGGGATAAAGTTCTCCGTGTTCATTAGGGGAAAACAGAACAAAACAAAATGGGCTCTCCACGAGAAATTCAGGGTTCTGATCTTGCGATCTGAGTGTTATGGTGAATAGTGCCCTGTGGGTGGGTGGTGAGAACAGTTAAGTTTGATACAGATGGGAAACTCGGGGGCTTATTTAATTGAAAGGCATGATTTTCTATCCGTGCATGCTTTCCTGCATTGCAGGTATCCAGGAAAGTAACTCCTGTAAGTCATGATGGCCTGTGTGTTGGAGAGGGCCCCCTGGCCCGCCCTGAGCCACCTGTGTACTGACTGTGGGAGTCAGCGCAGGAAAACCAGATTGCTTAGTAAACTTGAGTATTTCTGTGTCAGCATGGAGTCCATTGTCATGTGATCTGCTGTTGATAAACAGCTGTAACTGGGAACATACCATTGTTCAAAGCAGAGATGCTGCCATGTAGCAGGGACTTGGAGAAGCACTTAGAAATTGCAGGCCTATTTCTTCGGTACCTGCTGAGTATATTCGCCAAGGAGGCGCCTCCACATTCATTCTCATCCTGCCCTGCCCTTGTGTCTTGTGTGGCTGATAAGATTGATTGACTGAGCGTACTGGATTTCTTAGACTCTGTGGGAATTATTTTTGAAAGGGGAAAGGGAACTTGTCTAGACAAGTTACCCTGAATAGCACATACTTCAGACCTGTGAGGGGACGGTGTAGCAGGCGAGATCTGCCACTTCATTTGGACTCTGCTTTGTCCCCTTAGGTGAACTGCGACAAGCCATCGTGGCCATGATGAGCAGGAAAGATGAGCTGGAGGAAGAGAACAGGTATCGAGCTCTCCGGGCGGGAGTAGTGTCTTCCTTGGACAGTCTACGTCTGGGATGCAGAAATATCGCAGTGAAGGAAGTTTTGCTTTATTGGCACAGTTGTGACTGGTGATTTCTTGCTTTCCGGCCTGGGATGTGCCACTTGAGGATATATGTTGTGGCTGGAGTGTTAGCACGGATTGAAAACCTTACAATCACAGCACCATCTTAGAACAAACTGAGAATTTGCAAAGCAGCCCTTTTAATTTTTTAATTCTTTTTTTTTAAAAACAGCGTCTGAAATAGAATTCACAAATCATATAACTCACCTATTTAAAGTATACAATTCAGTGGTTTTTAAAGTGTATTCACAGATATGTGCAGCCATCACCAAAGTCAATTTTAGAGCCTTTTTACTACCTGAAAAAGAAGTTCCGTCCCTAGGGCAGTCACAAGCGTTAGGTGACCTTTAATTGAGGGTCTGTCTGCCATGTTCTGAGCACTAGAACACTTAGTTTTCTCAACTCAGAAACACCTAGGGTAAGACCTTCCCCAAAGCCCCGTTGCAGACACTGAGAGGCCAAAGGGTTTTATTCATCTTTTATTCCCTGTTGGAACCAGTGCTGGAAACCAGCCAGCTGTTAGCTGTATTGCTGCCCTCTGACTGCCCAGATGTGAGCTGCTCCCCTGCTAGGACCCTGCTTGGCTGCAGGGTGGGCAGTGGCGGGATCTGCCTGCAATCCCCTGCTGAGCCTCCGTGAGCACGACCGGGCGCCTTGGCGGGGGTCCGGGTGGCGTGCACGTCTGTGCCTGTGTGCGCTCGTGTCGCCCTCTCAGTCCCGTACTTGGAGCGGAAATGGTGTCCTGCTGACATGCAATCACGATTCTCCTGTTTAAGCCTTGATTTGGGCCCTGCTTGACAAGCTTCTCCCTCATCCTTTACAGAAACATGTAAAAGCAAACAAGCATGATTTGTAAAACAAGAGTGTTTTACAAAAGGAATCTTCAGACACTGCAGTTGCGCAATTTTCCAGTGAGAATCAACTTTCAGCATCGGGCTGTAGACATCACCAGATTCGTTTTCCTTGCTCCAGCTGGGGCCGTTACCTTGGCGAAAACCAGAGGTTTTGTCTTGCCTTGTGAAGAACAATAGTCCCTGTCTGGTAATTTCTTCTCCTTCCCAGAGAAAGAAGAAAAACAGTTTGTGTCAGGTGGTTCCAGGCCCCAAGAGGGGAATTTTCTCAACACTGTCAAGGAACACAGGTCTGGGAGGGTTCAGTGAGCAGTAGGGGTGGGGAGGTTCAGACGCTTTTGCTTCTGTTCTGATGTCACATGGCAGGTGTCCTCTTGATTTAGGATGGAGCTGCACCAAAGTTAGTAAATGTTTTCTAGAAATAGCCATGTGAGGTCCAGCGAAGTGGATGGTCAGAAGAACCATGCTTGGCTCATTTCCCGGTGGTAACTTGTGGTTATTTCTGGAAGAGCTGCTGTCTTCTCTGCTATTTAAGACAAAAGATGACAGATATGCAAGTGAATGTGTTAGGGAGGGTTAACAAACTCTAAATACAATATAAAGCACGTTACGTGCAATGTCAGATTACATAGCTTGGGTGGACACTACGTATGCTCGTTTAACCTGGAGGTGGTGGGGGAACACGAGAGAAGTGTGCTTTGTGGCAGAGGGAGGCACGAGGCTCCTGCTGTCTGTCCGATGACTGGAGCCTGTCATCTGATTTCATGGCTTGGTAGTGGTTTTGGCCTGCCCCGGAAATCCTTTCCTTTGTTAAGCTTCTCATCCGGTGTGGCTGTGACAAAATGTCCCGGTTTAGCGTGCTGCACCTGTGCGTGGGATGTCCTGAAGGGGCTGGCCCGGGATTTGCTCCCTCGTTGTTTTCCCGTGATTTAAGCTGCCTATAGGCTCTCAGGGACACAGAGCCGGGCCGCAGCTGGTTCCCCAAGGCGCTCATCCTAATTATTACTCGGAGGCTTGTGGGCCAAGTTTGGTATCTCCTGAAATCAATTTATGTAAGATCGACTTGAATTATGGTTTCTGCAGAGTCTCGTGGAAAATGAATGAATTAGGGCTTGACTTAGGTGAGTAACTGTTCTGGGCTCTGTGGATTCTGGGTTGACAGCGTCTGAACACATGGGGCCTCCTCTTCCCAGGTCGCTGCGGAGCCTGCTTGACGGGGAGATGGAGCACTCGGCTGCGCTCCGGCAAGAGGTGGACATCTTGAAAAGGAAGGTGGCCGAGCAGGAGGAGCGGCACGTCACGAAGGTCCAGGCGTTGGCAAGGTAGGGAGGGTGGAGGGACCGAGGGCGGGCAGGCTTTGTTAAAACCCAGGCATACCTTTCATCAGCACTTTCTAATTAAAAAAGCAGTGACCAATGGAAGTAAAATTGATGCATCTGGAATTATTCATTTCATTAAGTATTGAATAAATATTGAATAATATGTATACATATGGTTCAAAATACAGACGATACAAATGCTTACCCTCTGCAGTCCCCAGCCACCGGCTCGCCCCTGGAGGGGGGCAGTGTTACTGTCCCGGAGATGCTCCGTGCATACACGATGAGATGCTTATGCACCTCTTTCTTCTTCTTTTTCTTTTCATTTCCTTCGCCTCCTCCTTGTCTCTCTTAATGCAAATGGTCACGTATCCTACACACCACCCTCTTCACATCTTAGGGACTATTCTGTGCTGGTGTACCTGAGGCTATCATCTTTTTAGCAGCTCCCGATACCTCTGTCCAACTGCACCAGCATTCGTTTGGCCAGTGCGCCAACAGCCAGGCATCCGGGTTGTTTCTAGCCTTTGGCGGCTTCTGATGATGCCACAGCGAATAACCTGCTCCTGTATGACTGTATTTGCTAAAGAAATGCCTGGACGTAGAAATGCTGGGTCCAAGTGCAGTGGTCTTTAAAGCTGATTGGAGGTGGTCCACTTGCCCTCCACGGAGGCTGAGAAGTACGTTCAGTGGCGGCGGGCGAGGACCTCACCCAGCGCGGCCTTGCTCCCTCTGCGGGTCTGACTTTGGGGTCTTTGATAAAATCACAGGTGAAAACAGCACTGGCAGAATATTTTTCAAAATAGTTCAGAGTATGGTTGAGCCTTTTTAAATCTGAACCATCTTACTTTTCTGTGACTGTATCTTACTGAAGAGAACTGTCAAGCAACCCTCCTCCCCTGACCTCCCAAAACCCCAACTCCCATAAAACCAGGCGATTCTACTGAATTTGTTCATGTGCAAACACATTTTTATATACTAAGCTTAAAATCTACAGCCTGTCCTTTCTTAGTCTGCCTCCCTCCACCACTTAAGCTTCGTGTTAACCATTTTTATATGCCTGGACATAGCATTTCATGAAGTTGATGTACCATATTATAGTAACCATTTTTGATTGCTGGATATTTGAGTTCCAGGTCCCCCCCCCATTTTAGGTAAGATAAGCAATTTATCAGACTGTTCTTTAAAACTCTTTTAACATAAGACCAGGAGATAAACACGTCTTGCGGTGGGTGTGCAGGGGAGTCCAGGGCTAAGTGAACTGCCAGCGGCACGTCGGCTCTCCTCATGCTGCCAGCTGGTGTGAGTGGCGCTAATGCAACCGTTATGTACGTGTAATTGAAAGCTGGCACTGTGATCCCATATTTAATTTTAATTTGAACCTCTCTCCTGTGTTCATATTTTTAAATGACATCTCTAGAACATCAGAGACAGTTAAATGACTATGATAAATACAGTCGTAAGTGCCCAATTTGGCATTTTCTCAACTGGACCACCCGTTCGCCTGGTCACGTGAGGGTTCTGCGGTGTAACTGTGTTTTATGTTCTCAAAGACAGAAGCCTGCGGGGACTCTGTTTCTGAATCATCAAAGAAAGATGGACTTCTAGACCCTGTCATTTTTGATTGTGTTAGGAGTCAGCTCAACCTTGAGTCCCTCCTCCATTGCTTGCAAATTGTGTTTTGGGTGACTTGCTTAACTTCTACCAGCAGGCTGATTTGTGAACTGGAGAGGATAATCTTATGTACCTGAGAGGACCCAGTGAGGAGGGATGTGTGGGAAGGTGCATAGGTGCTGGATAACAGCGAGCAGTTGTAAGTGTGTTTTAGGGTAAATGTATTTTAGTATATGATAGTTTGGGGGAAAATTTTATTTAGCCCCATGAATAGAATAGAAAAAATAATTTCTTAACTGAGCAATTTTATAATCTGAGGCCTCCCCATTTAAACAGTGGGTTGCTGAGAGTTTAAGGCACCTGAAAGTTTGCAGGTAGAATGAACATGTATAAAACTTAAGAAGGAGAAAACAGGAAGAAAGCCAACAGAGCAATGGAATGTGTAAGTTTTGAAACACTCAACTGCTAACATGTTCCAGACAGACTTGATGTTTGCCAACTGCCAGAACTTTCCCCTTGCTTCTGGTCACAGAAGGAGCAGCTGTCAGTGTTGTGAGATGGTGGATATGAGTGGTTAGTCGGCTGGGGACTGGGGGTGCTGTCTCTGATGGGCGGCCCTGCAGAGCGTCACGTGCTTGCCCCAGGGTTGCCCTGTTCTAGGTCCATGTGTGTCCAGGTGGCAGGTTTCATAATGCAGACGGTTTAGCCCAGCAGTTGGTGGCACGGATGCTGGCTCTGGACCGTGTGGGTCTGATCTGATCATGGCTCGGCTGCTTTTTAGTTGTCTGATGTCAAGCAAGTTTCTTAACTTCTCTGTCTCTCAGTTTCCTTGGCTACAAAGCGAGGATAAGAGAACTCTCTACCTCGTAGAGTGGCTGTGTGATGAAGTGAGAGAGAGTCCATATGTCGGCTCAATAAATGTGCTCCATAAATGCTGAAAAAGCTAGCCATCATTACCATTTTTCTTTAGTGTAATAATTATATTACTAAGAAACTCTGCCTAATCAGAGTTATGTTTTAATGGCAATGGTGCAGAAAGAATTAAGAATTAGGCTGTTTCAGACTCAAGAAGGTGAAATTATTTTTGCCATGAGTATTCTAATGCTTAGAGCGTGTTTGGGTGTGTTTGTGTCTTACTGGCTCTGAGTGTAGAGTAAAATTGAAACAGCTCTGTGCAAACTTAGAGTTTCATTATACATTCATTTTGCTCAAAACTTATGCTTTCCTTTGATGCTATCGTAGCTCAACAAAGAGCAAGGTCTTATAACCAGCCCAGTGCCTCTGTGGCCTCAAACAGCGGCTCCTTCCTGAACAGAAGCATTATAACCAGTAGCATCTGAGGGTCAGTAAGTCTCATTCCCTGAATAATTGATTGTCTTATCTCTTGCGGAATTAAGAAAACCAAGCTATGAGACAGGTGTTAGCAGAAAGAAAACACACATTTACATGAGCTGAAGTACCTTGGAGGGAAGCAAGCGGACAGGGTTTTGGGATTATTGCAGGGCCATCTTCTGTTTCTGCTCTTTGTATTAGTTACCTCTGGCTGTGTAACAAATTATCTCCAAACTTGACAGCTTAAAACAGCAAACATTAATGATCATCCACAATGTCTGTGAATTAGGAATATGGGAATGGCTCATAGTTTTTCATAAAGTTGCAGTCTAGCTGTTGGGCAGAGCTGTAGTCATCTGAAGGCTTGATTGGGGTCGGAGGGGAGGATCTGCTTTCCAGCTCACTCATGTGGCTGTTGGCAGGAGGCTTCAGTTCCCTGCCTCTCTGGGCCTCTCTGTAGGGTTGCTCACAACATAGCAACTGGCTTCCCAGGGTGAGTAACCCAAGAGCAAGGGAACACCCAACATGGAAGCCACCGTGTCTTTTATAACATAATCTTGGAAATACGTGATCACATCTGCTATATTCTCTTGTCACACAGGTCAACCCTGGTTCAGGATGAGAGAGATCTACACATGAGTGAATACCAAGAAGTAGGAGTCATTGGGGGCCACCTTGAAGACCACCTGTCACACCCACCAGGCTTCTATTTTCCTGGGGGCAAAAACTACCCCAATCTCTCTTGGCTGGCTCTTCCTCTTCCCCATTCTGTGTATGTGGTTTGGTGGAACTGACCTGGGCTCCAGAGCAGGACAAATGGTGTGTCCTGGACAGTCAGCTTGTTCCATCCCTTGGCCACCATGATTGGGTCACAGGAAGGCGTGTGTCCAAGCTGATCTGATATGAGTCAATTCTAGCATTCTTGAGAGGGTATGATGGAAACCAGAAGTTGTTGGCAGCTGTGTTTGCTACTGTGGGGAAGACCCTGACCCCAAATCATGACAGCACAGTGGAGAAATGGAGAGCGGGAGAAACCAGCAGATCCTGGTATCATTTGAGCTCCTGGATCCAGTTCTCCCTGCCATCGTTTTTCTTCTGGACCACTCAGTTATGTGAGCTAAGAAATTCCTTTTGTGACTTGAGCCAGTTTGTGACTGGTCTTCTCTCCATGAGAGTCCTGAGTCCTGACAAACCATGCTGCCTTATTGACTGTTAGGGGATGGGAGCGAGTAATGTTTTTTCTGTGCATAAGTAAAATCGCTCCCTCGGCAATCAGCCTGCCAGGTCGATGAAGTGACCTCCTTGTTGTGGTTACCAGTGAGCTGAAGAATGTGTTGTGAGGATAACCCGCTGCACCTGGGCGCTGCTCAGGGCCTTTCCTGCCTGTCTGCGTGTCGGGACCAGCCTTCCGAGTATTCTTCCATCACAACTTTCCTTTCCTCCCGCGGAGTTCTGGTGTGCTGACAAGAACGTGTTCCTGGCTGTGTCACTGGGGCCATTATCTTTCCCCTCCGAGCCTCTGGTCGTCCATCTGTAAACATTTAGAAGAGGGTGGTGGCGTGGGGCCCTCTCCGCACCGCATGAGAGGCGATGTTTAGCAGGATGCTGTGGGTGTGTCCTGGTTGCTGCTGGCTTGGGAGGGCTGTGTCTCGTCCTCAGCCGGGGAAGCAGTGTAGTGACCTCTCAGGCCTCAGGTTCCTTGTCTGTGAACTGGGGCATAATAATTGTAACTGATACTTGTATCAATTTGGTGGCAGAAACCCAAACCTAGTTAGCTTGGGACAAGAGGGAAATTTTGTGTTGCTGGCACTGGTCTCTTTCTTCAGGTGTCACTGGGCCTGGGTGCCCCCTGGCTCCCACGGTTTCTCCTTGGCTCTCGGCTGTGTCCTTGGTGTGTTAATGTCATTCTAAGGTAGGGCCTCTGCACACAGTGGCAGAGGTGGCCTCTGTGGCACCAGGCCTTGCGCAGGATCCAAAGAGAAGAGACTCTCTTTCTCCTGATGGCCATATGTTTGTCTCATTTTAAGAAGATTCTTCCTTGGGTGTATTGTGGCCAG